CAAACCTTCTCACCTGAGCCCCTCCCCCACCTGGGGAACCTCACCTGAGCCCCTCCCCCACCTGGGGAACCTCACCTGAGCCCCTCCCCCACCCAAACAGCCTCACCTGAGCGCCTCCCCCCGCCCCTCCCCCCTCACCTGGGCCCCTCCCAGGCCCCTCCCCCCTCACCTGTGCAGGTGCGTCCCCGCTCTGCAGGCACAGCGTGCATTGCCGCTCGTCCGCCCCTCCCCCGCCCGCCGCCTTCGGCACTTCCGGCTCCGCCCCCTCCTCACCTGGGCGGGGTCAAGAAGGGGGCGGGGTCAGAGCGGGGCCACGCCCAGGTGAGCTCGGAGTGGGCGTGGCTTGGGCAGGTGAGCTCGGAGTGGGCGTGGCTTGGGCAGCTGAGCTCGGAGTGGGCGTGGCTTTCAAGTGGGCGTGGCTTAAAATGCGTGACCAAATAAGGTTAGAGTGGGCGTGGCTTGGCTTCCAAATCCGGCGTGGCTTAACCAGGTGCGCACACATAAGGTAAAAGTGGGCGTGGCTTGGCCTTCAAGGGGGTGGGGCATAATTTATGCCCTTATAAGGTCAAGGGGGGCGTGGATGGACTCTCAGGTGGGTGGGGCTTAATCATGTATGCCCATATAAGGTCAAAGTGGGCGTGGCTTAATCAGGTACGCACTGCTGTGGTCAGAGTGGGCGTGGCTTGGTCAGGTGAGCTCGGAGTGGGCGTGGCTTGACACTCAGGTGGGTGGGGCTTAATCATGTGTGCCCATATAAGGTCAAAGTGGGCGTGGCTTGATGCTTGAGTGAGTGGGGCTTAATGCATGCCCTTATAAGGTCAAAGTGGGCGTGGCTTGGCTTTAAAGTGGGTGGGGCTTAATAACATATACCCATATAAGGTTGAAGTGGGTGTGGCTTAACCAGGTGTGCACATGTGTGGTCAGAGTGGGTGTGGCTTATCTCACCTGTGGGGGAGGGGCTTATCTCACCTGTGGGGGGCGGGGCTTATCTCACCTGTGGGGGGGGGGCTTTGTTCACC